CCTGCTCAGCAGGGAGTCTGCTTCTCCCTCTGACCCTCCTCCCTCTCATGCTCTCTGTCTCAAATAAATAAATAAAATCTTTAAAAAAAAAAAAAAGCTCATCCTTCAGGTTTTCCCAAATGCCCCTTCTCTGTGCTGCCCTTCCTAGTTTCCCAGATGTGACCTTTCTTTTCTTTAAATTCCTTCTATAGCTTGTTGAACCTCTTTTATGCCTTGTGCTTAAACGACTTGTGAGCCTGTCCCCCTTATATACCCTGGTCTGTAAGTTCCTCAGGAACAGGAATTGTGCCTCAGTATTATCTGATGAGCCTAACTTATAGGAGGTACTGAATTAAGATTTGGGGGGTTGAGATTTAAAAAAAATCAATATAACTCACTCTATCCTTATTTTCTACTTCAGTATTTAATTTTTATGGGAATTACTATTTGGCAGTAGAAGTGAGGAATGAGTATTCTTGCCATACTCATAAATTTGGATTCTCCTATTAACATGAAGAGTAGAAATAGATAAATAGAGGTTGAGAAATGTGATAAGGGGTAAATATGGTGAGCTGTAGAGAATCTATAAGACTTAATGTTAAAAGGCCACCTGGAAAGTTGATTTCCTAAAACCATGTTTAATTTTACTGGTGAACATACATACACATGAGAACTATACTGTTGTTTAAAAAAGTGGGGGAAAATCTCTATGAACTGATGTGGAGTGATTTTCAGGATATACTGTTAAGTGAAAAAACAAAGTCCAAAAGAGTACTTGTAAATAAAATCCAAACCCCTTTCATGATAAAATCATTCAACAAACTAGGAATAGAGAGAAATGTCCTCAACCTATAAAAAGCATCTATGAAAAACCCATAATTAACATCATAATTAGTGGTAAAAGATTGAAAGCTTTCTCCCTAAGATCAGGAATAAGATAATAATACCCACTCTTGCCATTTCTATTCAGCCTTGTACTGGAAGGTCTAGTTAGGGCAATTAGGCAAGAAAATGAAAGAAAAGGTATCTAGATTAGAGAGGAAGAAGTGAAAGTATTTCTATTTGCAGATAACATGATCTTGTGTATAAAAAGTCCTAAGGAGGAATGCCTGGGTGGCTCAGTCGGTTAAGCGTCTGCCTTCAGCTCAGGTCATGATCTCAGGGTCCTGGGACTGAGCCCTGTGTCAGTCTCCCTGCTTAGTGGGGAGTCTGCTTCTACCTCTCCCTCTCTCCCTCCCCCTACTGCTTGTGCTCTCTTTCTCTCTCTCTCAAATAAATAAAATCTTTTTTAAAAATCCCAAGGAATACATACATACAAGTAAACTATTAAAACTAATAAACTAGTTTAGTAAGGTGGCAGGATACAAGATCAAGATACAAAAATCAATTGTATTTCTATACATTCGCAATAAACATTTTGAAAATGAAATTAAGAAAACAATTCCACAGGCGCCTGGGTGGCTCAGTTGGTTAAGCGACTGCCTTCGGCTCAGGTCATGATCCTGGAGTCCCTGGATCGAGTCCCACATTGGGCTCCCTGCTCGGCAGGGAGTCTGCTTCTCCCTCTGACCCTCCCCCCCC